ACGCAATGTAACAACCACTGTTGAATTCCTATCATTTGGTCTAGTGAAATTCTGTCTCGTTTCCATTCTCTCGCCCCTCTCCTCGCCCTCCTTCTCCTGCCACCCTCTCCCTCTGGGACTCTAACTAGGACCTTACACTTGCCAAGCATAGCTCCTGCCACTGAGCTATATCCCTGGCCCCACCCGTGCTCTCTTAATGAGGCTATTAATTCATTACTTTTCTGAGGCAGTTTTTGTTTTGCCAGAATTAACACAACCTGTCTGTGATGAGGCCCATCTGCATCCGATGCCACCACTGTGGCAAGGAAGCCTGAGAAATGAAGGACAGCTGGACCGACGGGACTTGGCCAGACTGCGACCACTCGCAGACTAAGCTCAGGGGCCTGCCTGCCTCTCCACCGACACAGTGAGACCACGTGCCGTGTAAACTCAATCCCAGCACACTGAGCCTTAGGAAAAACAATATACACGTCAAATAAGAACGGGTAGGTGCCGGGTACACAGCTCAGTGTCACAAGTGCTGGCCTGGCAAGATCAAGGTTCTGAGTTCGATTCCCGATACAAAAGAAAAAAGTGAGCACAGGCAGTTTGTTTGAGCAGAGTGAATGTTAGGCTGACTGGCCTTGAACTAACTCCTGGGCTTCAAGACTTCTCCTCCTGCCTCAGTCTCCCAAGTTGCTGGGAGTGCAGGTGTGTACCACTGCACCTGACTGGGATGTAGGAGATGTCTAACATTAAAAACAGAATTACTGTAAGGATCGAGGTAACGTACAGAGTGACACAGATGACAACTTAGTCTTAGATGACACGGGGACTAACTTTCTTCGTCTCCCTCGCTTAGGTGCTTGTGAACTCAGACAAGACCCCAGTCTTCACGCAGCCGGCTAGGATACGCCACATATTTCGTTCAGCTACGTCTTAATACACCCTAACAGAAGCCCCAGCTCCGAAGGACAAACTGGCCCTCAGGACCCCCGCAGGTGGAGACAGGGGACCACCTTCCACTGGGTCCTCAGGTTATCCAGACTTTCCTGTGACCTACGCATGCCCCTCAAAGATTCAGAAAACTCTCATGCGTCAGAAGAGGCCACCTCTGCTGCGACAGCAGACTCACAGACTTAGGACTTCTACCTGGTTTCTCAGACACATTCCAGTTTCAACTCATCATAAGAACATTTAATTACAGTATGTGTGAACCAGGAGGACTTGTGTTAAGTACAATAGCCGAAAGACTCCTTTTCCAAAGAGCTTAAGAGAGCAGTCTGTATTTCAGAGGTCATCCCAACACCACGGCTCATGGTCCTCTAAACGCGCTCCTCCTAGGTGGACGAAAGAAAATGCTGGAAAGAGCTGCCTCAGTCACAATTTCACAGAGAAACCATTAGGTAGGCCTACTTATCTTTCAAGGACAGTTTTCAGATAGAATATGAACATGGAATTTCATTGAAAAGTTTAATTTTTTATACAGAAGGTTTTGTAGATAATGCACATCAGTGACTATTTTGAGAATCATTTTCACCAAGGAACCTTTTTTTCTAAAATAGGTATTACGTATATAAATCTGTATACACATATTTTTTTTTAGTATATCTTTAGTTGGGTTTGATTATAAAAGTTGTTAAATCTGTTTTATTTATCCGCATATTACAGTGATTAGCTTTTTTTGAATGGACCTTTGCATCTTTATACATTAAAATAAGGAAAATTATTTGTCTCTGAGCGCTCAACTTATTTTATTCTTGCATATTTCTTTAATACTGTAATCTTCAGATCCAGATCATGGGAGAAGTTAGGAAAAAATGGTCTGATTTTGTGTTTTTGTATCACTGTCAGAGTTAGGACGCAGTTAGCAAACTTTTTCTAAAAAGGACATTTCATTGTGCTGCAAAAATCTGAATATATATTTCTTGTTTTTTTCTTTAATATTTTACTCTTTAATATGTTGAGCCACTGGAAATTTGTAACAGATTAATTTGTGATGAGTTTAAGTGTGTTGTCATTGTCTCCATTGTCTTCATTTTGTCTAGAGCCTATTACAGAAACAATAAAATTGTGTCAGTTGCTTTGAATCTTTATAGGTGTCAATAGTTATTGTTGATATTTAATTTTATTGTCCTCTCATTCTCTTTGGTTGGTTAGTTAGTGTTTTCATTGACTTATACATCTTCATCCTTTTTAAACAGAAGAACACAAGATAGTACGTTCTTGTCACTTATTTTTGTCTTATAGAGAAGAATACTGAGTATAAAGACCTCTTCAATTCCTAATGCTCCCCAAGGTATTCGCTAATGATTTATCCTTGCAAACTTTCTTAAAAATACATTTTTCAACACATTTGTATAAATACCATCTTTACTCTTTTATATTCTCTCATTTTCTCATCTTTCAGATCCTTTAACAAGTGGGTTAAAAATCTACGTATTCCTCAAATTGCTTTTTTTGTGTGCGAATAGTCTTTCAGCCTCCTCCCATGTGTGGTTGTCTCAAGTGTTAACTCTCACCTTTTGCTGGCCGTTTGGGTGCTTTTCACTGCGTCATTTGTACAGAAGGTGTAGTGCATGTCCTCACATGTGGCATTTTGTGCTTGTGTTTGATCCTAGAAGACAGTTGCTATTGAAGGACACCTGTCAGAGAACCTGCTAAAAATGCTGTATTAGCCAGCACTCCCTCCAGTGTGTGTGCGTACTCAACTCCTAGCGCTCTGTAAACCTAGTTATCCATCCTAACAAGTATTTGTAAAGTTGATCTTTTAAATACAGACATAAACTTTTTGCATATTAATTAATTACATGTTACAGCCCTTGTTTTTTATGCCAGGTTATTTAGGGTTTTTTTTTTTTTTTTTTTTTTCTTAATGAGTAGGAGCTCTGTTAATTAACAGATACTACATTGATCCTGTGCAATTTACTTAACTTTTATAGACCTCAGCTTCATCATCTGAAAGATGGGCTTAATATACATAAGTGATTACATTAATAAGCATGTTAAAGCACCTTGGTAGTATAAGCCCTGTCTTGCCACAAGCATTTAACTATTTGTGCACCAGTGCCCCATTGTAATCCTGGTCACTGGGTGCTTTATTGTAATGATAGGGAAACTAACTTGTCTTGCTTTTTGGGGGGGGAGTTGGTTCTCCTAGGACATTTACTCTGTATTAGTACATGTTTATAATTCTTGGAGTTTGTAGATATCTTGGGGAGTGTTACATATATATACTACAGCTTGTTTTCTTTTTTAATCCCCTTCCCTTTTCCTCTCTTCCCTCTGGTTCCCCAATCAGTTGGTTCATACTTGTTGATGCTATTTGTCTTAACATGTTATGACTCCTACTGTTTACATTGATTGGGGTTATTGGGTTCCTGGCACAGCTTTATTCTTATTTCCCCTTTCCCTCAACCCTATCCTTATTTCCTTGCACCACTTCCCTTATCCCTTTCTATCCGTCGTTTATCGTTTGCTCTCCTTTGCCTCACTCAAATGAGAGATGCCATATGGTATTTAAGCTTGCATGTAGGACACTTACTTTTTATGATGAACTTTAGTGCCTGTTTTGTCAAGTTTGATTATTTTAAATTTTTCACCCAGATAGTATTATGCTCTGGGGAGAATTGACATGTTAATACACTAAACATAATATATTCATTCATTAATTATTCTTTCAACTGAGTATTGCAGCTTTTTTAAAAAAAGATTGTTTTCCTTAACAGCAGCATGATTTTAATTCTGAAGTGGATTTTTGTCCAGCAGTAGGTACAAGATCATTTGAGTTATTAAGTCTTCTCTCTCACATTGTCTAGGTTACTGGCCATGTTAGTGAGCCCCAGGGTCTTGGTACTTCATAAGCCTGGGTCAGTATGTGCTTCAGAAAGCAATGCAGTCCAGCTTAATGTACTATTTTTTTTTAAAGTTTTTTATTTTTGGCTGGCTCAGGCTGCCTTAAGGGTGGGTATGGTAAGGCATGTGGAACTGGAGATCGAACTGAGGTATCCTGCATGAGCATTTGCATGAGCAGCTGCTTAAACAACTGAGCTAACAACTGGCAGACCCCCTCCCATGTACTATAAATCACAAGTAGTGGTTATAATATATATATTTTTGGGCAAGAACTGATTTTGAGTAGTGCCTTTAGGAACACTAACGAATGTTTGTGAAAGGTTTGGTATTAATGGTCAGAAGATAACCTTGTTTTAGCATCCTCTTTCCTCTCGTAAATAAGTCTTGTCTGCACTGTACTTTCAGTCGCCTTCTTGAAGTTCGTTGCCTGTCACACACACACCCCTATTTACTGAGTGCATGCTTTATCTTGGCACCTACTCAGGACTCACATACTTCACTGTCTGTAATCTCAGTGTTACACTGGAGCAGAAATCTACACTGGAGAGGAACTGAGGCCTAGGTTAAGCAACTTTCTTGAGGTCACACAGCTCTTAAATTGGAGCTGAAGTTTGAGCCCAAATCAGTTGAATTCCATGCAGTGTTGTACGGTGTGCTTGTGGCACAGAGATAGTGTAATGACACCCATGCCCCACCACTGCAAAGGGACTGAGGGTGTTGTGACCACATAATGATATGGG